TGTGAAACTTAGAAAAGACTGTTTCATCCCCTTCGGGTATGTGCACCGTCTTTAACACGTTTCAGGGGAAGCAAAGAAAACAGAAGGCTGAACATGCAAGGTCAAAACCTTATAATTGAAAAGTGATTCCACTCACGCTCTTATTAATATTTCCTTTTTCCTTCATTATTTGAACGATTGGTCGAGGGCAATGCACACACGTCGCCACAAACTGATTATGGCGAGAGGTCTTAAGAACAATCATCATTGTCATCCAAAAGTTTGGATAGAGTTCTTAGATGGTGATGCCACTCAAGTTTGTGGCTGATCCATCCAAGTGTGACCCGTGTCAATCCCCCGTGAAGTCGTCAAACGAAGGATGGGAAATTTCCTGGGAGTTATCAGTGTGGGTCAAGACTGTTGGCAGACTGGAAAAATCGACACACAACTTAGCAACCTCGACAATTGGCACTGTTTCCGTGAAAGGGACACCTTGGATCAGCTCTATGGCCAAACGGGTATCTCCCCTGCTGGGGAGGTCGGCTATGTTCGATTTGCTGGGCACCCTCTCGATCCATGCCAGGGCAAAATCATATTCGCTGCAGGAGTTGAAGAGTTGAGCAATCTGCAAGAGGGCCAGGGTATGGCTGGACGCTTTAATCAGCGTGTGCCTGGCACCCTCATTGTCAATGAATACAAGTAGCCTTCTCTTCAAGATCCTAGATCGGAAAAGGTATCTTGCCAGAAGAGCGGCAAAAGCTTCAGCCAACGTGATCACTTGTTCGCTCCCAAGCTCATGCCACACATTCACAAGGAAATCCGGGATGCGTCCGCCCAGCGCTGTGCGGTATCCCGCTGGAGCATCTAGGAACACAATGCCGTAAGTAGCAACTCCGTCTTCGTAAGCAGCGTCAGTGAAAATCACAACCGGGTCGCCAGTCATCCCAGCGGTCCACTCTCTCGGATTCAGCAACTTCAAAAGGTCCAAGGTCCAGTCACACAAATTATTCAGCGCCTTAGGGCTGACGTTCTGATCGCCGGCAGACAAGGATGCAAAAGCCCGTGCGGCAATCTTCAACGTGTGACCCATGCAAAAACCCATAGCAAAGTTTAGGTTACCATGGATGACTTGCGCTTGCCTCTTGGTGACCTTTCCGCCTTTCTTCAAGTCCACAAGCAATTCCCGGATCTTCTCTAATCGCTCTGGCTTGTTACCTAGGGTGAAAATACCACTAGCCAACTGAGGCGGACGCCCAACACGTCAAAAGTGTCCTCAAATGGCTTCACCTTGCTGGGGTCGTCTGTAAAGTTCCACCCCAGGGCCTTCAGCAAGCCTTCAAAGGACATGGTACACAACGTGCAGGCGGATGCAACCTCCAAGACTGGGAAATCATCAAAATAGACTCCCCCCAAAATGCGGCAAAATTTGGTGGCTATGGCCCACAAAGCCCGGGATATGCGGTTGAAACCAAACACGCTGGAGCAGGCCCCAAACGGGAGGCTCCTGGAAATGAAGTACACCGGCTGGCCAGTTTCGAAATGATGTACCATTAGCACTGCGAAAGGTCGCGATTGTTCACTGATTGGCACTTGCTTATATGCCTTCGAAAGGTCTAGGCATTTGCCTCTCCACTTCAAGTCTCTTCGGAAATCCGGGTGGAGAACCCCCGTCAAGGCCCTGCCATCCCTAAGCTGCACTGATACTGTATGGTCAGCTGCTGTCCTAGCTCGATGGATGGTCGTCGAGATGAAGCTTGCCAATGAGGCCAAATAGTCTACATCATGTAACTCCAACTTGTCCACAGCGGTGTATGTCCTGTTTACACCGGACTCCTTCAGATCGTCTATGATCCTCGGCTTACCACCCTGCATAATGGCAAATCTCCGGCTACAAACAAAATCTTTCTGCTGCAGCACCTCCTGCACCTGCCCTACACTATAGAAAGGGCCTTGCAGAAAGCCGGCCTCCACTTCGGTCAGTGTCTTTTCCCACAAAACTTGAGACAACTTCGGATCATCCTGGTGGATGTTGTGAGCCTCAATTTTCTTCCTCTGCCACCTAGCTGACAGGAGGGCGAACTCTGGTGTGGAAGTTGCCGGAACAATCTTCGTGTCGAAAATGGTGCACTTACTTGCAACACCCGTCAGATCCAAACCGCACATCAAGTCCGCTGCCTCTAGGTCAGGGTATTCGCACAGTTTCAACAAGTGTTTGAAGAGTACAAGCCTCTTACCCTTCAACACCTCTTGGGCATGGTTAGGCAGCGACGCAAAAAATCTAGATTCCTCAGAGGCTAGCTCTTTTGACAGTTCTGCCAACATCCTTGCAAACTGTAATCTCGACTTAGCTACCCGCTGCAACCCTTCTGTCAGCAGTTCAAACACGTTGGTTCGAGTGGCATCTTCAACAGCGAACTGTGCATCAAAAGGGTGTTGCAATCTTGTTGCCAAATTCACAAATTCTTTTGGATCATGATATATGCCAAAAGCTGGAGCTGATGACCCGTTTTGCTCCCCCGTTGGAAGAGGAGCCAGCTGCTTGAACAAGGAATGCGAAGGGTGCTCATGCACCACAGTCTTATATTCTGGAATCAAAGAAGCAAATTTCTTTGTCTGCTTGTGCGCACCCTTGGGGGTGGACCGAACCCGAAAATCGAAAGTGGGACTCAGGAAGTTTTTGACCTGACACACTATGCGACTGCACAGGATCTGTGGATATTCACTTTCTAGCGCTGTGTCAAAAGACCATTTATCCCCCTCCTGACGCAGCTTGTACGGCTTATGCTCATGGGTACCCGGATGGGTGCCTGGACACTGCGCCTGCAGGGTGTGCAAAAACTTGTGGGAAGACCTCAGCGTCGTCTGTTTGGGACGGTCCCCCCCATGCGCACAATTGCTAAAAGAGATGTTGGACATGGCATTCCACGCTTGCAGAGTTGGAGGACACTTAGCCTCCTTGACATAATGTTCCAAGACTGACCACATCCAGCTGTTTTTGGGGTTTTCAATCGTAAAAATGGCATTCCATTTTCTCGACACTGCAAAGACCTGAATGGTGAAAGCCGCCAACAGGTTGGCACTGCGAACTTTAGCCACTTCGAAAGCGGTCAGGCCTGGCAGGCCCAGGGGGTACTGGGCATCCCTCAGTGGCCGTGGGGCAGGGGCACCACGTTTCCGAAGGGCAAGAGGAATGGGCCTCTCTCTTGCACGCGATCCAGTTCCACAAGGCAAAGCAGCATGTATGAACTGAGGCCGGACCCCTTGCAACATACCAATCAACACCTGCTGCGCAGCAGCGTCTGCTAAATCCAAAGTCAAGATTGGGCACTCGACACGATGCGAATTCCTAAGGCCATCAACTGCCAAAATGGCAAACCCTTCTTGTTGCGCAGTCTTACTGAGTCGACCGCACCCTGCAAAAATTTCACAGAAAACTGCTCTTCGACCCATTGGCGACGAAAAAGGAAAACTTGGCAAATCGGCGGAGTGAAAAACAGGCTGGGCCGAATCACTTCTAAGCTTCTTTGCCGGAGGCCCCTCAGTCTCCTCGACTAAGGGCGCCGGAACGGTTGACTTGTCGGATAGTCACTCCACGGATCCTCCGTGGTCGCAACTGGCATAGGGCACAGGCTTAAAGCACTTCCAACACAAATGATATCCCCTGCGACAACGCTTTCCAGCTTTGGCAAAAGTGCACCGGCCTTTGTTGAACAAGTTGCAAAGCGGTTTGCCTTCCGGTGTCATCTGATGGCACCCCGGCGGAAGAACAATGTGGCTGCCCTTACCGCCTGCATGCTTCTGCTGGAAATCATTTTTCGGCTTATTGGGAGACTTTGTCTTGCCTTTGCCTTTCGGAGAGGAATGCTCGAACGATGTGGAGGGAGCCTGTGACTGCTTGACCATTGGAATGAGACAAAACTGGACCTCTGCACAATTCATGAGGTCATCCATGGCGGCTTCCATGGGCTTTGTACCATCTGCCTTTTGCACCAAAGATCCCCTTGTCTTTTCAGCCAGCTTCCTAAACAAAACCTTATCGGCTTCCCGAAGCTGACTCAACGACAAGGGCATGGCGTTCGGCAAGGGCTCCCTTTGGTATGCCTCAAAGAGCTTCTCATGCCACTCCTCCATTTTGGTAAAACTGCATAATTCTGCAAGGTCAAACGCGCGCGCTCGTCGCGCTAGCGCCTGCCGAATCCGCATCTCTCCATTCACAGGGGCCTCGTTGGCCGACTCCTTTGGGGCCAGCTTCAAGTTGCCTGACGAATCAAAAGAAATGCGCAGATCCTTCTCCGAATGGGTGATCTCACTGGACCGGGAGGTCAGCTTTTCCCATGGTAGCCACTCTACGCTCTGGTCGATGGCAAACTGGTTGACCAAGTCAGCTAGTTTATGCGATGGCTCGGTCTCTGTGCTAAAATGAACTCCTTTCAGCCTATCCCTCTGCAACGCCAACCGTGAATTGCGCTCGGCAATGGGCATTTTGGAAGGCTCCGGGTTGCTATTGTTCTCTGATCTTTGCTGCAGCTCACTCAATGCCAAGGTGCAACTTTCGAAGAAAAGACGCCTAAGGCCGATCATCTCAGTTGCTGTGGGTGCTCGTTTCATGATGGTCTTGAGGGAGTCAACAAGGGGTTGCTCATCACCCTGTCCAGGCTGGTATGCCGTGACAAACGCATAGGATCCGAAGCTATTCACGCCTCCATCCTTCAGCAGCTTGATGACCTCAGGCTCTAAACCTATTTTGATGGCTCTTGCCTCAAAGGCTGCGTACGAATCCAGTCCGGTAGACATGGCTGCGCCAGAATCACCGGGGCCAGATAATGATGTTGATGCTTCCCGAATCTGTTTGTGTTTCTTCACGCTTAAGTCAGGTACATCATATCTGTCTGGTGTATACTTATAGGCAAGCTAAAGGATGCTAAGGCTGCGTTCCGGTTCTTGCTATTGCTGGCTTGTTTGTTTGCTCATGGGTGTGAAGGTTTGCAACTACCGAGCTGACCCAAAAGCTGAGAGCCGGTTACCATGTATCCCACACTGCTGCGAGTTTAGCCCGCTGATGTGTGGATGGCTGGCACCAACAGCTATCACTTGGGTTGAGGAAAAATACAGCTTAAGTTTGCTGCTCTCCCTTTTTCCACCCAGAGACTACGCAAGCTAAAGGTTATAAAGACGGATGCTTATTGACCCTCATCTATACTATAAAAAGCCACTGGCGGCGTGGGAACAGCCCACGTACTCTGCTCACTCATTCCCAATCTAAAACCTGTTGCTGAAAAGGACAGGTCAACTCGCTCCACGAAGGCAACCACGCAGGATCTGGCGAAAAGGCACTGCGCTCTTGGCTCCAAGAAGGCAAAAATGCGCACTTGGGAGTTGTACCAACGCCAAACCATGTCGAGGAAAAAGCATGTCCCATATGCCCGGCTATAGCGCTCCATTGAGCAAATCAAAGAGTAGGCCATAGCAGCCACAGGAAGCAGGCGACCCAACCACACACAAAGAAGCCTATGGCAGCACCCCAGCTCAGGCTCCAGGCAGGCTGCTTCGGCTGCTTGGCTATGGCCGACTGGTGGGCCTTCTTTCCTCTCTCCACTGGATGGGCCATGTGACGCACACGAGATTGCGAACAGCAAGCTATAGTTGCAAGGTCTAGCTTTAGAGGTCCTAGTTTATTAAAAGGAAGAGTGCTGTCACGAAGTGAGAGCTTTATCTTTTAGTACTATGTAGTGCTAACTCTATTTGCGAGGAAGCACGCTCTTTTGTAGCTCTTGCTATTATGTGGTAGTCTACCCTATTCACACATGGTGGATAGCCGTGGAGGCCTAAACAATTCGATGGCCACTGAGCCTGGGCCATCGAATTCTTGGGACTGTTGCCGTCAGGTACCACGCCATTAGCTACTAAAGGGCATAGTACAAATAAGATAACACTGTCAGCTTATGACTTCATAGCCATTAAGGTTCTATCTTGGCTGTACACTTTGTTTCAAAGACCCTAATTGTCAACATCTCTCTTGGGCCATGGCTGCAAAGCTGTTTGCGGTTGAGTTGCCGCTGATGCTCTGCACGCGTTTCCCAACATAACAGCAAAGACACATCACAGAATGCGAAAAAGCTGGACTACCCTGTATTGCGCTACCGTTTGGCTCGGGTCTGTTTTTCTTCACAACACGCGACACTGCAGGCAGATTGGGCTGTCATAACAATTGACGTCGCTACCAATCTCTTGGAAGTTCCGGGCGCTCAATCGTCCACACTTGAACTTTCGCTTTGATGAATCGAGCACGTGGACCACACCCGAATGCCTATGAACCCTCAAATTGCTCAAGATGTCCAACGGCACGTCATCCCATGCAGGTCTGACAACGTTAGGGTGCCTCGCAAGTTCCACGTCTCTGGGGCCCGCATCGCTAGCGTCGGTGTCAGATTCTGCCTCGGGCTCAATCGGATTGATCAAAGCACTCAAACGCTCAGCCTTTGTTCCATCGGGGCGAAACTTTTTGGTTTTGATGTCAACAAGCATCTGATGCACGGTGGCCTGGATCCTGGTTAGCTCATCGCGGGCGTACACCACTGCGGATTGGTTGTCTCTGGACAAGTGATGGCCCATGGACAGGCGATCAGCAACATTCAAGTAGTTACCTTTGGACACCCAACTCAAAAGAGTGCATTTAAGGCTGTGGCATCCAATACCTTTCAATTCTTCCCTGGAAAACCCACTGCTTTCCATGAACTCGATCAGATATGCTTGCGCCTCACCTGTAAGCATGCGACGATCAAGCCATTCTTGTCGAATCTCACTGAAGGCAGGAAGGGCTGGATCTAGTGACAAATTGCGCTTTTGTCTCAACTCCATCCAATCTTCAGCCCACGGCCTCCTAGAGAAGAAAGATCCTAAAGATATGATCGGCAAAAGCTTCTTCTGCTTCTCACTGAAACGCTGCGTTTTGAAACTGGCGGACTCAGCTTCTAACACCTGAATATCATCCGAGGTTGACAGCTGCAAGGATTCTAAGGACTTGACATCGCCAAATCTGGAGCTCGAACCCACACAGAGAAGCATATGTCCGGCTATCACGCGCCAATGATCATACGGTGCTTGCTGAACTATGTTCTCTAGCCCTATCAGCATCTTCACTGTCAATGGCAATGACTGTCTTAGTGGCCTCTTTAGAGAGTTACAAAAAGATGCTGCTCCCTTGACTCTGGCTGACAAAATGTCATCAAGTGGGTAGGTAAGCAGTCCTGCCTGGTAGTGGATGAACGTCCATGCTTGCAAGAAGCTGTCTGCTGTGGTCGGCGACCCATGGATCTTCAGGTACTCCATGTATGCATACACTACACGTTCATTTGCAACAACACTAGGTCCATGATTCTTTGCAATGCACCACTCATGGAATCTCCATAGGGACGATGCCCTCTTGGCCAAAGTTGCAACTGCCTTGCCTGCAAATGCATCACTAAACGAACTCTCCCAGTTTGACTCAGGCTCAAACAAGCGGGCCGATGACACCAAGGATCTCCCTAGCTTCGAAGCGGTAGGATCTGACAACAAGATCACTTTCAGTTTCCTAAATGCTTCATATTGGATTTGGTCTTCGGACTTGACCATGGTCGAAAACCTTAGTCTCTGGATGGCCATGTCACTGCACAGGGTTTGCGGCGGTTTGATTGGCGAGGCATTTGCAACAACTGATGCCATCATTCCAATTTGAGGGGGCTTCCAAAAATTCTCCGTTTTCAACCACTTGGGCTTGAACAAGTCCCGCCTGACGTCGAAGAGTGGCCTTTTGTTGGCAACCCTTTGCAACTTCCACCAAGCATCAAAGACCGGTGCACTGACTGGCAAGGTGGTCGAATGCGAAGTGCTAACATGATCACTTACCTGATTTGTGCCTGCAAGGATGCTGCGTGGATATGATGGCTGACTATTACAAGACTCTGGCTGCAAAACCTCATGCGTTTCTGAGGCAAGGGACTCTGCTTCTGAGAGGACGGCTTCTATCTCTGTTGTACTGTCGTCCATGGCGATTTCCCCCGACTACCACAGACTAGATTGATCCATGTTGGATCCTAACAAATTTAGAGGTTTTCCCTCCGCCCGCCCAGCCAGAGCTGCAGGGCGCCAAGATGACACGCATCGCACCAACG